AGGTGAGCGCTCCTGGCTGGCTCGCCAAATTCGGAGACCCAGGGTTTTCAGGACGCCCAACAGTGGCAACTTAACTATTTCACGCCAGGAACAGGGGCGGCCCGTCCACAGAGCTGAACTAGGCGGTTGCCCACGGCGCCAAGTGAAATGGGGCCCCAAACGGTGGCACAATCTCACTGAGGGGTTTGGGGGTGGGGTGCCGATCGCATGGTTCGCTGAGGCGGCTCGTCTAGGGCCACCCCGGCCAGGGATAAATGAACAGGAGCGCGGCTATTCCGTCGCAAGGCCGCGTCCATTTATTAGACGCAAGCCAGTGGTTCTCAAATGTCACTGCGACCCCCTTCTGACAACAGAAATTAGCACACAACCCCGGGGGGATCGGAGCCTGAGCCCTCCTGAGCCCCCTCACCCCATATCGGGGGGGAGCTCGAGTCCCACCTCTGCGTGTGAGGGGCCCAAGGGGACTTCAGCTCCAGGCTTGGTACCCACAGGACTGGCGCCCTTGGGTATGTCTCTGGTCCCAAGCAAGGGGGCTCAGGGTTCCGGGCGTCCCATGAAAAGCCGCAGCTTGAGAGCAGGAGAGGTGGGCACAGGCAGCCGTAAGCAGCAGGCCCAGAGCGTGGCAGGAGGGGCAGTGAGCTCAGTGCGAACGGGCCAGGCCGGAGTCGGGCCGAGCATGCCGAGTCGCTTTGCCGGGGCTCGCACGCAGGGCAGGCGGCCGTGAAGTAGGAGCCCTGGGCTCCAGCAACGCCCCGAACGGACACAAATCCCACAAGCACACGGCCACTGTCAGGGAAACGCCCGTCAAAGCCAGACGGAGGGAGAAGCGGCTGTGCTGGGATTCATCCGCCAACGGGGCCCCGTCAGAGGGGTCTGCACGGAGACCTGGGCCGGCTCGCTCATGGCACCCGGCCACGTCCCCTCCGGCGCGTCCCCTGCATCATGGCTAAAGGCGCACACGCCCTCGTTTCGTTAGCGGATGCCACCCTCCCAGCTCCGCAGCCCGGCCTCTCTGCCTGCAAGCACACGGGGAAGGGAGCCTCGGCTCATGGAAGCAGATGCCCTAATACATCTGTAGGTGCTGTAGAAGCTATTTTATGTTTAGCTAGAAGCCATCTTGTGTATCAGAAACCATTTCAGCTTCTCTCTCTGGCACGTAGACCAGAGTGAACGTTCTGTCCCCCCGTGAGAAGAGGCCTACAGGATGGGCTATTGGGATGTGTTCATTGGGCTGGCTGGGACAGGAGATGCACTCCCTCGTACCTGTCCGCCATCTTGTTGGTAAGGCTTTGTTTTTCCAAATTTAATTGAGGATTTCTGTAATTGGATGCCCTGACGTCAGACTGTTTGGCTAAGGGTATAAAGATACTAGGATTGATTGTATTAGCAGCTTTACTGGGCCCGGATTTGCTGGGACCACGTTTGGCTCACTTTGCTTTACTGATCAATAAAGCAAATCAGTTGTTAGCCGCCTAAACAGAGAGGAGCGTGTTTTTGCTTCGACAGTGCCTCTGGACTCCTTGCCGAACAGACTCGCACGCGCCTCCCCAAGTGGCGTCAGAGGCCTGCTTTGGAGTGCACTGACTGCGAAACACAGAGGACCCTACTCAGGGTTACTTTCCAGAATTGCTACTAGCTGGTTCCTACTGGAGACCCTCGGCCGGTTCCTACTGGAGACCCTCGGCCGCTTCCTACTGGTGACCCTCGGCCGCTTCCTACTGGTGACCCTCGGCCGGTTCCTACTGGAGACCCTCGGCCGGTTCCTACTGGTCACCCTCGGCCGGTTCCTACTGGAGACCCTCGGCCGGTTCCTACTGGTCACCCTCGGCCGGTTCCTACTGGAGACCCTCGGCCGGTTCCTACTGGTCACCCTCGGCCGGTTCCTACTGGAGACCCTCGGCCGGTTCCTACTGGTCACCCTCGGCCGGTTCCTACTGGAGACCCTCGGCCGGTTCCTACTGGTCACCCTCGGCCGGTTCCTACTGGAGACCCTCGGCCGCTTCCTACTGGTGACCCTCGGCCGCTTCCTACTGGTGACCCTCGGCCGGTTCCTACTGGAGACCCTCGGCCGGTTCCTACTGGTCACCCTCGGCCGGTTCCTACTGGAGACCCTCGGCCGGTTCCTACTGGTCACCCTCGGCCGGTTCCTACTGGAGACCCTCGGCCGGTTCCTACTGGTCACCCTCGGCCGGTTCCTACTGGAGACCCTCGGCCGGTTCCTACTGGTCACCCTCGGCCGGTTCCTACTGGAGACCCTCGGCCGGTTCCTACTGGTCACCCTCGGCCGGTTCCTACTGGAGACCCTCGGCCGCTTCCTACTGGTGACCCTCGGCCGCTTCCTACTGGTGACCCTCGGCCGGTTCCTACTGGAGACCCTCGGCCGGTTCCTACTGGTCACCCTCGGCCGGTTCCTACTGGAGACCCTCGGCCGGTTCCTACTGGTCACCCTCGGCCGGTTCCTACTGGAGACCCTCGGCCGGTTCCTACTGGTCACCCTCGGCCGGTTCCTACTGGAGACCCTCGGCCGGTTCCTACTGGTCACCCTCGGCCGGTTCCTACTGGAGACCTTCGGCCGCTTCCTACTGGTGACCCTCGGCCGCTTCCTACTGGAGACCCTCGGCCGGTTCCTACTGGTCACCCTCGGCCGGTTCCTACTGGAGACCTTCGGCCGCTTCCTACTGGAGACCTTCGGCCGGTTCCTACTGGAGACCCTCGGCCGCTTCCTACTGGAGACCCTCGGCCGCTTCCTACTGGAGGCCCCCGGCCGC